TGAGCAGCCGTCCAGTGGCCGGCGAGTGCCTGCCTCGCCCGGGAAGAGCGCAATGATAATACCAACATGGGCCAGTGAAGTGACGTCCTCCACAGCTAGACTGAAGAACAAAAGGACAGCAACTTGTCTGTTCTCCTCCCCCAATTCCTCAATAAAAAATCTTTAAAAAAAAGTCCTTAGAACCCCCAACCATAGACCACACTCTAGGCCCTGCTCCCTGGTGGGGGGGTCTGCCCAGGCAGATTCAAGGTTCTGCTCCATCCTGGCCACAGCCCCCCTACCCGCCCCAAGTCTGAGGGAAGCCTCTTCTGACCTTGGTCCGCCTTTTCCAAATGAACCTCTTTAATGGATGCTGCCTTCTGATTTCCCATCAGCTCTCCCCCCAACCCACCTCTCTCCTTTTGTGATTATAATTTTTAAAATTTTTATTTTATTTTTGATCACACAACAACGTATGCTTATTTGTTCTCCTTTCCTGAAACAACTTCAGGGGGCCTCTCTCCTTGCCCTTGCTCCAAACCTGTCATCCTAACCTCCAGCTCCCCTGTCTGACCTCCAAGTCAACTCATCCTGAAACTGACCTCTCCAAGGTCTATGCCCACCTCTTAAAACTAGGAGAAATTTGGAGAAGGTGGTGGCTTTATCCAGACACAACCAAGGTTCCACATAGACTAATAATCCCCGAATTGGCCTTTTATCAAATTATGGTCCAAACGTGACAAGGGGATCTGGGCGTCCAGAGGGGTCCTTGGCAGAGGTGAGAGTAGTGAAAGATCCCCAAAACACATTCCTGCTCCCTCACGCCTTTGCTTACAGGGGCTCTAAGAGATTAACAATGACAGAGAGACAAACCTGACCAAAGTTTTCTAGAAGATGAAGAGCTGTAGTCCTATAGAGCAAGGAAACCAGTTTTTCTTCATATTCTAAGTCCTTGGGGAGAAAACAAAAGACACTGGATTAAATGAAGCAGGAAAGATCTGGGCTCAAAATAAGGAAGAACTGCCAAAGCGACGGTGAGAACTACAGATCCTGAGCATGACCTGGCAGGAGCAGCTGGGCAGGCCCTCCCGAAAGTCCTGAGCACAAAGACAGACCCTGATTCAGCTTCCTTTATGGGGTGGGCCCGCGCCAAGCCCTGCCATCAGGGCTGCTGCTGTTGTACAGCCAGGTGGGCCGGGTTGCAAGGGACGCAGTGGCACAAGACGGTCAGGGAGCTGCCCAGCCAAGGAAGAGCTGGGCAGGGCTGGTCTGGACAGCAGGAGGGCTGCTCAGTGGGTGATCCGTCCTTGCGTCCCTCGTGCTTTGGCAGGTGCTTGGGACACGTGGATAAAATGAGGGAAGGAAGGAGGAAGGAACGGAGGGAAAGAAAAAGGGAGGGAAGATGAGAGGAAGGGAAACCGGAAGGAAGGGAGGAGGAAGAAAGGGAGGAGGGGGAGAGGAAGGGAGGAGAGATGGAGGAAGGAAGAGAGAGGGAGGCAATAAAGAGCGGGAAAGAAGGATGGAGGGAATAGAGGGGAAGGAAGGAAGGAAAGTCCAAGGGAGGGCAGAAGGAAGGGAGGAGGATGCGAGGGAGGGACATCTGCGCTCTAAACTTACACAGATGCCCCAGGCCCACCCTGCTCTATGGAAAGTGCTTTATCAGCAGCAGCACCACCCCAGGCTTTCTGGTAGCTGGGACTTGGGCTGCTACACATTTTCTGCCCCAGGCAGGCACAGCCCAGGGAGAGAGGTCAGCACAGGCTAGTGGGTCCTGAGCATCAGAGCTTGGGGTTGTGGGGGATCGTGACGGGCAGACAGCTCTGGGGGCCACGGGGGAGCTGGGCAACCGATGGGACCGTGCACCATTCTTATTAGATCTAGTTCTTGCTCATTTCTACTGGATTCATGTAATTTCAGAGCTGTGTTCCTAGGGGGAAATGTACTTTCATTTGATTTAATGTTTTTCACAAAATGACAATAACATTGTTATTCCTGCATGTAAAGGAGAGGAAGCTCATTCTAACCAATGCAAACAAAGGAAAGAATACAACAAGGACCTGAAATTTCAAAGATAACTATTGTCAACATTTTGTTGCACATCATTCTGGAATATATATATATATACACACACACACACACACATATATGTATATATATATGTATATGTATATATTTACATATTTAAATATGTAAAAGTTTTAGACCTAACTTCCTTGTAAATAAGCAGCAGTATCATTCATTTAGTCAAATATTTTAGGAAACAAAGAATTGGGCAACATCTGTGATTGAGATGATTTATTTCGAGTTGTGGAAAGGGAGAGGTTTCCTTTATTTTTTAATTTTTTTTTGTTTTTAGCTGAGCCATCCTGACACCTGTTGGCAGCTTAGCGGCAGCTCAGCTCGGGACATGAATCAAACCGGCGACCCTGTTGCTCAGAGCTCGGACTCTTGGGTGAGCTTTAACCAACTGAGCCACTCGGCTGGCCCCCTAGGAGAGGTTTCCTTTTGAAAACACAAATGCTGTATAATTCCACTCGTATGAGGTACCTAGAAAAGGTAAATTCATAGAGACAGAAAATAGGATAATGGTTGCCAGGGGCTGGGGGGAGAGGGGCATGGGGAGTTAGTGTTTACTGGGTGCAGAGTTTCAGTTTGGGAAGACGTAAATTTCTGGAGATGGATGGTGGAGATGGTGCACAACAATGTGAATGTACTTAACACCACTGAATTGTACACTTAAAAATGGCTAAAATGGTCGATTTTATGGCATGCATATTTGGCCACAAATTGCAAATAAATTTTTTAAAAACTCAAAAGGAAAAAAAACCCCATGGGAGCATGTACAGGCACTATTAAGATGGATGTCTGGAGTGGAGGTGGAAATAGAGTGAAAAGTAGGTGGACAGGGAACAGTAGTGGGAGGGAGACTTTCACTGTCTTCCTTTTAATACTTTTTCAGTGACTGGATTGCCTATTCAAAAGCACGTAATGCTTTTTTTTTTTTTTTTAAAGAAAGTTCTTCCTGATATTGTACCAAAATTGGGCCTACAACATGTCTAACAGGTTGACTTCCTCCTCAAAGTGACGGTCCTTTAAGTCCTTAAGACAGTATTCTGTACCCTCTGAGCATCCTCTTCAGTTCTCTGTTCCTCCTGCTCAGTACGGGGGGCGCTGATCACTGCAGAGGGGTGCCTGAGTCTGTGGGCTCTCTGGTGGACATCTGTGGTTTGGGGTGTCCACCATCTCTTCCCCCTTGCCCTAGAGCATCCTGAGTCTCCCTTTGGAGAATCTCCCACTGTGTACAATCTCTTTTGGAGGAGGTTCCAACTTTCCACTGTGAAAGAAAAGGGTACCAGTGGCCCAATCAGGAGGCAAGCCTGTGACTCAGCCAATCAACTCCCTCCCTCTCCCTGGGCTCTGATCTTCAGAGTGCTGCAAGGAAGCTGGGTCCCTAGAGGTGGTATTTATTCTAGCAGTGGTGGGCTAGAGGGATAGTCCTATGCTTCCTCCTTTGTGGGGGTTCCTGCTACCCAGGCTCCAGAGCTCTTTGGTTCTGGCCCATTCTCCACCCCTGGCCTTCCAGCCTCCATCAATTCTGTGAGCCCTAAAGGCTGTTGACTCCGGAAGGGATATACTTGTCAGGAAGGACTCCTTCTGGGTAGCTGGGGCCCAAATTCATAATCAGAGTCTAATCAGAACTGTTGTTTACAGGGAGCTTCTCATGTACACTGCACTTCAGGGAAAAGCCACAGACTGGGCTGCCAAGCCTCCTGCACTGTGTTCCTGCTGGCTGAACCAAACCTTATAAAGGAGTTCCTGGAATCATATTTTGACCAATGAAATGAGACCTGCCCCATCCACCTGGAGCTGCCCAGCTATATCCTCATTTGCATATTTGCTGTCCAATCAGAGCAGCTCCATAATGGCCAATCAGGACATGGGATTCCGACCAGTCAGGGCAGTGCAACATGGACCAATCAAACTGTGCAAATTTGGATCCTTCATTTGCATAAAAATGGACCAGTCGGGGGGACTAGGGTGGGCACTTTCTCTATATAAACGGGCCTCCTCTTCGTCTCACAGGGGAACACACTTTCTGTTTGCTTGGGCGACTGCATTTCCCTGGGTTTGCAGACTGTTCACCAGAATTAAGTCTCTCCTTTTATAGCACCACAGGAGACTCTTGTTGGCATTGGGTTGGTGGCAGCGACCTTTTGTTGATGAAGCCATCCAAAAATTTTTGCTTAAGCTAACCAGAGGCAGCCTCTGTAGTTCACGAGCAAGAATCCTAACTGCCAGAGGCCCAATTTACATATGAATTTGGGGTGTGTGTGTGACAGATTCTCTGTTCCCAAGATGGGCCTCAACAATTCCTCCTATCCCACGTGCTAGTTAAGAATATAACCTTGCCACTCCTTCCATGGAAAGGTGAAGCCTGTGTCCTCTTGAATATGAGCAGGCTTTCCCAAATAGAGTATGGCAGAAGTGATGCTATGTGACTTCTAACACTAGGTCATAAGAAGCCATGCAGTGTTGGCCTGGTCCCTTGAGATGCTTGCTCTGGCATGGAAGTCAGCCCCCATGTAAGAAATTCAATGACCCCGATGCTGGACAGGCACCTATAGGAGGTCTGGTTGACAGTCCCAGGTGGGACTCCCAGATGGCAGCCTGTATCAGCTGCTAATCAAGTGAATGTGTCATCCTGGACATCCATCCCAGTCGAGCCTTCAAACGATGGCAGCCCCATCCATAAACCACCTGGGAAGCCCCCAGCAAGAACTGCCCAGGTAAGCCTTCCCAAATTTCTGACCCACAACATCGTGAACAAAAAATTGATTGTTTTAAGGTGCTAAATTGTGGGATTATTTGTTACTCAGCAATAGAAACTAGAAACCCTCGCTTGCTTGCCTGCTTACCTTGCCCCAGAGAAAATTGTATTTTCTCAGCAAGAAAGACAACAGGAGAAAAAGCAATGAAACTACCATTTATTGAGTCCTACCACAGACATCCTTTTCGTATACCACCTCATATGACCCTCACAATTCTGTGAGTTGGGGACAGTTATTCCCTGGTGGAAAAGAGGGATTGGGGCTCAGAGGGGACAAAGCAGCTAGTTAAGTGTCAGACTACAGAGCCCGTACTTTTCACGCTGGAGCAGAACCCCTGAAAGCAAGACTAAAGGAGCAAGTGAGGGAAGAAAGTTGAATTTAACAACATGATGTTACAAGAACCAAGATTACTGAAGCTATGCGATCCTTTTAAAAGGATTAAAGTATCAGTTTTGCTTTACCCCACGCATTAGTCAAATAACAGGCAGAGCACGTCCTCCATGAGGAATGAGAGCTTTCACAGAACCTTCCAGTTACAGCGCATTACCTTCTGGCACTTGTAAATCACCTCCTTTGGTTCTTAAATAATTCTGTTAAGACCTGGGCTGGGCCGTCCAGCAGGTGGTTTAAGGTGAGATGGACAGATATGATGCATGAACATTTAGATGGGAATTAGGTTTAGTAATCCCTTGGGGAGTTCCTGTTATGAGCTAGGCACTTGAGGGACATTTTCCCTAATCCTGCAAGATTGACATCATTATACCCCCCTTGACAGATGGAGGCAGGGTTGCAGGTCAGGTCATTAAGTTCCTTGTCCCAAACATCACACAACGAGGAAGTGCAGGCTAAAGAAGGGACCCACTAGGGTGGAGAGTGGGGAGGGGAAAGCAGGCTGACAGACGTTGAGGTCCCGCTGGCACAGAGTCCTGGGCAGAGACACCAGCCTGGGGCCCCTGCAAACTGTGGGCACAGAGAGGATTGTGGGGTCCCTAGAGGCCACAGAGTCAAAGCTCTTAGGGAAGGGGCGATGTCCTAACCAACCAATGGATGGGCAGAAACCCCAGGGACCCACGTCTCACATTCAGTGACTCCCCAGCTAGATGGGAACCTCTGACCCAACCCCTTCCACTGCGATGAGGCAACTGCAGCCAAAGGGAATTTCCAAAGTCCCCCAGGTGTCACTGCCAAGCAAGACAGTACTCCATGTTCCTGACTCCTGGACCAGTGGTCTTTCAGAGTCACCTTCCTTTTGGTTCTGGGGATCAAACTTGGGCTATAACCAGGGTGACCCTTTCATGTATCATCCAAACCAGAGTGAGAGGGGGCGTTATTAATAATTACACCAGGACAGCAGGTATAAACAAGACTGCCCTGGGCTAATGGGACATGTGATCATCCTAGCATGACAGCCGAATGCCACCCACTTGCCCACCAGGAAGGCTTCTTTGTGACTGAAGGGATCTGAGAACTCGTCGTCACCCTCCATACCTGGTGAGGGGATGGAGAACCAAGCAGCCTTGAGGGTCTGTCCCTCCCAGGGATTTTCAGGGTGCCCCCAGACCAGCTGCTCCATAACTGGCCTTCCTCTCCACCCGGCTTGGGACGCATAAAGCTGTGTACGCATAAATAGAGGCCCCATTTGTGCACCTATCAGAGGGCAAGTGTCTTGCCAAGCCCAGCAGAGCTCTGGTTTCGGGTGCTTCCCTCTGGGTGGTAGCTGCTGAACCGAAGCTCCCCCTCATCGCAGAGCTGTGAGCAGGGCTTGGGTCTCTCCGGGCCCGGTAGCCAGGTCACAGCAGAAGCTTCGAGGATGTCAGGCGCACCCTGAGGACCTGGGCTAGCGGTGCTGTTTCCTCCCACCTCTGCCCTCACCCTGAGTCACACAAGCTTCAGCCTTACTGTGTGCACGAATGCCCTGGGGGTCTTGTCACATTGCAGATTCGGATTCAGGGCCTGGAGGGGGCTGAGTTGCTGCATTTCTAACAAGTCCCAGGTGATGCCAGTGCAGCTGGTCCAGGGACCCCTGTGAGTAGCAAGGCCATCCATGGCCGATGTCCGCCCTTCCAGTCCCTCCCCTGCATCACGTGGCCACTCCCCCTTCAGCTCTCAGTGCAAAGGGACAGCCCTCCTAGAGAGGCCTTCCCTGACTGCCACCTAAATGCAGTTCCCCCTGTGACCCTCTCCCAGCATCCTGTTCACTTCCTTCAGAGCAGCAATCATGGCTTGTCATTGGTTTATGTGTTTATTACTGATGGACATTGGGAGTGATCGTGTCTTTTGTCCCCACACTCTTGTGAAGCCTCTTCCCATAATGACGTTGGGCCTGGCCATGCCATTTCCTTGGGACAGTGGCACACTGAGATTCTGACCTTCAGAACCGAGCATCAGAGATGTGTGTTGTTTAAGCTGGTAAGTGTGTGGCGATTTACTGAGGCCGCAAAGGGAAACTCGCACAGGCCGTACCCCAGACCCGCCGAGTCAGCGACTGCAGGTGGGGCCCATACCCCTCGTCTCTTGTCTCACCATCTCTGCAGGGGGACACAGAGCTGCCCTCCAGGTGCAGAACCTTGCTTTCCAGCAGTGGTTCTTGACCTTCATCGTGCATCAGACTCATCTGGGGAGTTTCAAAAAAAAAAAAAAAACACCCCCAGAAATTCTGATTTAATTGGTCTGGAGTAGGGCCCAGACATCTCCTTCTCAAAAGCTCTCTCTGTGATTCTGTGCCCTGCCAAAATCAAACCCCAAATCGAACCCAGGTATTCCTCCCCCACCCCCGTTCCTGCTTCCGCCTCCCCCTCCTCCTCTCTCTCCAGGTACTGGTTTCATTTGGGTCTTCTCTGCCCGCTCTTTCTCAAGTATATACATTTCGTTGCACACTCCTAGAGGGATCTTGGAGAGCATCCGACCCAGCCTCACTCTTTCCGGTTGAGGAAACTGAGGCCCAGATAGAGGACGTGACCAGTCCAAGGTTCTCCAATGAGCGAGGCACGGAGCCTGGGGCAAAACCCTGGTGTCCTGGTCCTTTCTCCTCCCAGCCCACTCTGACCCTGTCCCCTGGGGTAGAAAGCGGAGGGCTCCAGGCAAGGACCCGGCTCTTTAAAACCTTCCCTCTTTCCAGGCAAGGCAGAAGGGGACCTGTGCAGTGAGCGAGCCAGCGCTGGAAGTCTCTGGAGGTGACCTTGGGGGCGGGGGTGGGGGTGGGGGCATGGCAGCAGGGACTCTGATGGCCCAAGATAAGGGAGGGGGATGGGGGAGGGGAGGCAGCCAGCCGAGACTATCGCAGGGGGAAAGCAGCAGCTAGCCCTGTTCCCAACCGCCTACCCACCTGAGGGGGGTGGAAAGGAGGAGAGAGGAGGGGACGGGAAGGCATGGGTCAAGGACCCGCAGATAAATAGCCCGCTTCCTACTGCAGGAGCCCTGGGCTGACAGGGATGACGGTGAGGGTCACTGAGGCCATCTTCACCCTCCCCCCAGCACCTGCAGGACCCTCCCCCACAAAGGGACGAGCGGAGGAAGACTGGGTGGAGGGGACTCACCCTGGCTGCAAGGTGGCAAGTTTGGGAGGGGACAGCAGTGTGGTGACCTTAAAAGCACAGGCAGTGCTGGGAATCGCGCAGAGGCCGATTCAGATGGAGGCCCTGAGCCTCTCTGAGGGAGTCGGTCTCCCTGTCTGTAAACCGGGGATAGCAACGCCTACCTGGTTCTTGTAAGAATTCGGAAAAAACACACGGACACATAGGTGCTCGTGGGGCTCTGAAAATGGAAAGGCAGCACACGGAAGGGTTCAGACTGGCTGGCTTCAAATCCCAGCCGGGCCCCTTTCCACCTGGCACAGGACCGCCAGGTGCCTGTTTCCTCTACTGGGAACTGGGGCGGCAGACATAACAGAAGTGAATTCATAGATGTGAAAGGCTTGGGACAGGGTGCCTGGCTCACTCGGTGCTCCAAACTGGCAGCTTGATTTTGCGGCTTCTGCCTTGTGGGCGGGCAAGGAGAGCCTGTGGTGCCTCTCGGAGACCTTAGACCTAGGGAAGGGCCTACGAGGTTTCCCTGGGAACAGAAATGTTTCTAAGACCTGAAGAAAAGTGATTGGCCTCAAAGTATGAAAGGAAAACTACAAAATCAAAATGAGGAAATGCTTTGTGAAATGTCCACAAACATACTATTATTTCAACTTTATTAACTGCCTTCGTAAACATTTAATAGCATTTGAAATTCAGTTATCGGTTAGATTTTTCTCATTCTACAAGAATGAGAGTGAGTGGTGATGACTAAGAAATCAGAACCGGTCATAGCTTAAGCAGCTTGTAGCCAAATAACTTCAAATGCAAAATTGTAAAAATTATTTTAGCAGATGACTGTGATAGGGTTGAAATTTTAAAATATGTTTAAGAAATATATATGTATAAAGTTCAAGGAAATGAATGAGAACAATACACTCCAAATTCAGGATGGCAGTTTCCTCTGTAGGGAGGGGAGGGGATCAGAGAGGGGTACACAGATTATTTTAGCCATCTTGGTAACATTTTATTCCTTCTCTCCCTCCCTCCCTCTCTCCCTTTCTCTCTCTCTCTCTCTCTCTCTCTCTCTCTCTCTCTCTCTCTGTGCCATGAGGGCACCGTGAGAAGGTGGCCATCTGCAAGCCAAGTAGTGAGCTGCACCAGGAACCAAATTGGGCAGCACCTTAACCTTGGACTTCCCAGACCCCAGAAGTGTGAGAAGTAAATTTCCGCTTATCAAACTAAGACAGGGGACCGGGTGCTACCATCAGCCAAGGGTGCTGACCCTCTGTGGAATATTACTGTGCCCAAACTGAGCAGGACTGGGGGAGAACCAAAAGGATGATGGCGATGACACCAATAATAATAGTAATAATAGCAATAAAAATAATTCACACCCAAGCCAAAGCACCTACATCATTCACAAAATGAAAACATAAAACGAGCTCAGAACAATGGCGTAGCCAAGTCTTCACACCCTAAATCCAAACACGGGTCATGAGAAGACAGGACGTGGCCGGGTATTACTCACTAGTTTGTGACAGGTACCAAGGTAGCTAAGCCTACAGCCCCGTGCAGTGGATAGGTAAATCCCATAGACACAGCCTGGGCCCCTAAGGTTTAGCCAAGCCCCCTGTGCCTACGAGTCAATGGTAAAACACGAGCCTGAATGGTTCTTCTAATGAAAAAGCGAAAACACTAAATGCTGAGTAAAATATTAAACAAAATACCTTTTGTCACTGAACTAACACAATAATGAGTCATCCACAGGTCCCCAAACTGTGGGTAAAGGAGCCCCGAAGCTGGCTGGTACACTCAGGTTTCTGCTGGACGCCGGAGACCTGGAACTTGCACTTTTAAAAAAAATTTATTGGAATTGCATTAACATACAATATTATATTTGTTTCAGAAGTACGACATAGTGATTCGACATTCACATCCCTTATGAAATGATCATCATGGTAAGTCTAGTTATTATGTCACCATACAGAGTTATTGACTATATTCCCTATGCTATACGTTATAGCCCCGTGACTTAATGTATTGTACCTCTTAATCCCTTTCCCCTATTTCACCCACCCCTTTCCCCTTGCCCTCTGGTAACCATCAGTTTGTTCTCTGTGTCTTGAGCTTGTGCTCTGATGGCTGCCCCAGGTGGAAGGTCAGAAGAGAAATCTTAGGGTCCACCCAGTGATGTGGGGCATAAATTTTACAGATATAAAGGAAGATATAAAGGATGTGTAGCGCACAACTTACAAATAATAATAACCTATATTGTACAATGCTCTATTGTAATTTCCACATAGGCAATTGATTCTCACAAAACACTTTTTTTTTTCAGCTGAGCCATCCTGCCCCCTGTTGGCAGCTCAGCTTGGGCGCAGCGTCACAGGCCCATGTGGGAATAGAACCGGTGGCCCTGTTGCTCAGAGCTTGCACTCTTAAGCCAATTCTTAACCAACTGAGCCGCTCGGCCGGCCCAACACTTTTGATTTTTGCCAAACTCTTATATCCTTAGCCGACCTTTGGCTGCAATTCATCATGGCTCTGACATGAATGTTTGGTTGACACTTTTGTTCATATTAAGGCGGAAGTTGAAATGAAACAAAAAACACATAAGTTGGAACTTCATTCATTAATCAAAACTGAAGCTACTTTAGTGAGGGACACACAGTGGCCTCTAGGGCCCTGGTCATATGTTATTTTTTTAGCTGGGCAGTGAGTGTATAGATATTCATTCTATTATTTTTCTTTAAAATGGCTCGATTTTTATATATTTTTTGTACATGTGAAATATTTTATAAATATAATTATGATCTTATAACTTTTTAGAAAGACGGAAAAGGAAGTTGTAAAGAAGGTCTAAAAATGGGACTCTGTAAATATTTGGGGCTGAGGCATATGCTGGGCGCCCAGGTTCAGGGCTGCACCTGGAGGACAATGTAAACTCAGCCTATTTGCTGTCGTGTCCCCTTTGGTTCCCCATGGATGGGGACAGTGTCATCTGTGTCCCTGACCCCACCGTTCCACATCCATGTTTCGGTGGGGCTGTCACAGCCCCCTCCACTGGTTTGTTTTGTCGCCCTTTCCTACTTTTAATTGTCTTTTATGACGCCCAATTGCTGGCTAACATCCTGCAAGTGTTTGGTCAAGGTTAACGTTGTCTGTTGACCTCTGCCTTCACTTGGTCTTCAGAGGTTTCACAGTCTCCTTGTGGGCTTAGGAAAGCGGTACGCAGCTCGGACTCTCTCCATCTGCCCTGTACTCATGCCACAGAATATAACTGGTGTGCGGCTAATGGACAGTAGGAATGACAGGCTACATCTAGTAATTACCGTGAACATTCACTTAACCTGTGCAAGCACTCTGCGTGCATTCTCTTGTTTAACCCTCACAGCAACTGCGGGAGCTGGGTAGCAGTATGATTCCTGATTTGCAGATAAGCACACTTAGGCTCAGAGAGCTCAAGCGAGGCTCACACATGGTCAGAGGAGAGCGAAGCGGCCTTCCCAAGACGTCTGCCTCCTCTGGCTCCTTTTGGGTGCTTATCCAGGGAACCAAACACCCAGAGAGCCACTAAAAACCCTTGAGGATTGTGAGAAAAGACCCCTCATGTGTTTACAGAAAGCCCAGAGAAACGGCCTCGTCCTCCAGGCCTTCTCAGAGTGAAAAGTCCACCCAGGAATTAGGGTCCAATTCTACAAACGTGCCCTGCTTCTAACCCTTATGAGTAAATCGACAGCAGGGAGCGTGGGGATCACACTCTGGGCAAGTCACTTAACCTTTGTTTGCCTCATTTATTGTAAATGGAGATGAAGATGAAAGTTATATGAAAATGAAATGTTAATATATGCATAATTCTTTGAACAGTGCCTGGCGCATAGGGAGTATTATCTGAATGTTGACTATTATTAAGTTTTATTATCTGTATCTAAGTCACTCAGGGACTCCTCCTGAGTTTCATCATGGCTGGCTGCTGGATTGCCCCCTCATGTGCCTGGGGAGTTAAGTTTCTTGTTCACATCCCAGAGGAAAGCAGGAAGGTGGGCCCACCCAGGTGGTTAACTGAGGCGGTTGGGCTGGGTGAGCTGAACACGCAATGGAGTCGCCGAGCAGTGGAAGTCTTTCCCTTGCACTCACTGTGTGGTGGTGGGGGTGGAGGGACTGGGCAGATGGCTGGCGCACAGGAGGCACATGGGTTTCACCCCTCAAGTTATCAATGGAGTTGAGTCAGAGAGCATTGTTTGGACAAGGCTGCTATGTATCATTTGGCTAATTGGCTTGGAGCACTCTCCTCTTTCTCAGTATTCCGGATTGATGGGTGTGGTTTTCTTTTCTTTTTTCCTCTCTCTCTTGTCTCCCCATATCCACGGCCGCTTGGTCTCTGGGAAACTTGGGGATCAAAGAGTCAAAGCTGATACTATCCATTGAGCTCTGGGAGCATCCGGAAACAAGCATGCATCATAGGAGATTTTAAGTTTCAAATAGGCCCAAGGGGAAATCGGCGAGGCTGGCTTGGAAGAAAGTTCCGCTGTCATTTCTTGGATGTGATTAGCGAGACTAACTCTTCTGTGAGGTTTAGGCAAACACAAAGGCCTTCAGGGGCCAGGCTGATAAATGAGTGAGTGAAGTAAGAAGGAAGGGCATGCTGGGGACAGCGGAGGAGCAGAAGGAGCAGCTACTGCTCAGTGCCCTTGAGAAATATGGACCCAGTGGCCAGATACTCGGAGGGTTCCAGAGAAACTAGACATTACTGTACATGAAATCTCCAGATTTTAAAATGTTTGATCAAATACTCTTATCTTTAATTTTTTTTTATTATGAAAAACTTCAAATGTACAAAAAAAACCCCACAGTGATATTCTAAGGAACACCCACACCCACATACACTCATCACTCAGATTTAACCCTTTTAATATTTTGCCATATTTGTTTCATCTATTTTTCTTCTGCTTAAGTATTTTAAAGTACAAAATCAAAGAAGCAAATAAAATCTTTTCATCTTTAACTGCTTCAATAGGTATCTCTTCAAAACATAGGTATTTTCCTAAGTAGCTACAATAATACTTAAGAAAATGAACAAGCACCTTGTCTTTATTCAAATTTTTTTCACTGCCCCCTCAAAATGACGTGTTTAGATGGATTCTTCAAGCCAGAATCTAATCGAGGACCAAGAATTAGATTTGGTTGTTATGTCATAAGTGTCTTTACTCTAGAAGAGATCCCTACTGGTCTGTTTTGTTATATTTTTTGTGTTTTTGCTGACACTGATTTGAAGAACTCAGATCGGTGTCTTGTTGACTGACTAGATATGTCTGATTGTTGGCTTGTGGTGTCGCTTAAACTTATTCCTTTATTCCCTGCATTTCCTGCACACTAGGAATTGGATCTAAAGCCTTGGTTAAATGTAGGTTGACATTTTGGAGAGAATATATTCCAGGTGATGCTGACTTTACCTCGGAAGGCACAGGACACAGTCCCATTAGTAGTGACACTAGATGGAGGATTAGGTTAAGGTGATGCCCTCCATTGGAAGTCTGTATCTTTTTCCTTAGACCAGTCATTTCCCCCAAAACCTTTTACCTAATGGTGTTCGCATCCATTGGTGCTCCTTGCCTGAATCGATGATTTCATTAGGAATTGCAAGGTGGTGTTTTTCTGATGCTATTTTTATTTTATTGTTTTGACATTTATTAGCTGGCGTTCTTCTTTAAGGAAGAGCTTTCCCTCACCAACAGGAGCTATGTGTCCATCTGGAAACTGGAAGTACTGGCTCCTACTGGTGCATGTCCTCCCTCGTGCAGGGATCAGGTTCATCTTCTGTGTCACTCCATTTTTAGTAGATGGGCTGCCAAAGTGATATGCGTTTTTAATAAAAACATAATACGATCCGCTCCTGGGGATTTTTAAGTAAAGATACACTCCAGGCAGGTACATCCCCAGGGGCCCCCACCTGCTTTTGTGTCATCTCCTGATGAGCTTCTTCAAAGAGCCTGGGATGCCTCCTCAGGGGACCTTCCGTTCATCCTTGGGCTCCCACATCAGTGAATGGCCCCGGTGTTCCAGACCATTTCCACAGGACCCAAGGTGAGGGGTTTCTGGACTCTATGCAATCCTGATAAGGCAGGCCTGGGCCACGCCTCACTGGCTTCAGCCACAGCTTTGCTCTCCCAGCCAGAAAAGGGAGAGCCAGTCCCACAGAGCTCTGCCCCCAGACACGATTTACCCACGGAGTACTGCTGGGGTGGGAGTGGAGGTGGGCTTGGAGCAAGAGTAGGCTCCTAAGCCTCACATTAGCAGGGGTCAGAGAGATGACGGGACAGGGGTAAGGCAAGCACCACCCAGCCTTATCACACCCCCACCCCGACATCTCTGAACTACAGGCCTGACCCTCCAGTAAGTAGAGGGACCGTTCAATCAGCTATGTGATGTCCAGCAAGTTACTTAACCTTTCTGAGCTGTAAAAAAATGGGGATTTTGAAAAAAATACCTACCCAGAAGGATTTTTGGAAGATTAAATGTGAATACTCCTAGCATAGTGCCAGACACTCAGAAATTGTGTGATGAACATTATTTTCCTTTCTGCTGTCTTTTCTGTAACAGCTTCCTGCACAATGCTGTGGTTCCACCAGGGAAGCTAGGCAAGCGGGCAGTCCCCAAAAGGGCGGAGAAGCCACTGTTGTCTCTTTGTGCCCAGGAATACTGCCACAAATGGATGGCTCCTCCCAGGGACAACCAGGTAACCTTGGAGTACGGAGACCTTGGGTAGAATGGATGCTGGGGCAAACGGCTGTTGCGGCGGAGAGACAGGGTCCCCCAGGACCTGCCCCTTACCCAGACCCACCCAGGACACAGATTCGCTGTGTAAAAATCCTCAGCACCGAGACCTCAAGACTTCCTGCCCAACTGGAACTGGAGGTGTCCAGGTACCTCAGCTGTTTTTTTTAAAGGAGAAGAACATCTCATTGTCACCATCACCCTCAAACAGAAACCACAGTCCTAGAATAAGACAGAGTTGATTCATGTGCTCAGGCCCCACCAGGATTCAGTTCAGTTAGCAACTTTGGGGGTGGGGCCAGCTTTGGCTATTTTTTAAAGTCCCCAGGTGCTTCTAATGTATAACCAGGGTTAAGAACTATGAGTACCGGTCTAGTCCAACCTCCTCACTACAGAGATAAAAACACACGGGGGGGGGGGGGGGGGGGGGGGGGAAGGAAACAACCCCAGAAAGGTTAAAAGAAATACTTACAGGGACAGAGTACAGTGCAAAGTAGGTGTCCCAAAGAAGGAAGCTATAATATGATGACTTCCTTAATTCTATTTCTCTACACAGGGCTGGCTTCGTGGATGTGGGACCATCAGGTGTAGGAGGGGCCTGCGTTCCGCTGTTGCTGTTTTGACATTTACAAATTTTTTAACAACTTTCTCACTTTGCACTGGATCCTGCAAGTTATGTGGCTGGTCCTGGCCCTAAACCACACAGCCCTTACGAGCAGAGTAGGTTATCACCTCACTAAAGGAAGATGGGGTACATAGTCAGGGCTGGGAGGCTTGTGGGCGTGGGGCCCGGCCCTCCATTGCCCAAGGAAGTTCCCTTTGCTCCATCGCCGTCACCGGGAGGAGACCGTCCTCGCGTCCCATGGGAGAAGCAGTGGCGCTTAGCGCTCCCTCTTGCTGGCTGTGAGAGGCCCTCTAGGCCTGTTTCCTCGTCTGTAAAAGGGAGGATATCATACCTGCTTTGCAGAGTTACTGTGAGGAGCGCCCAGAATTGTGACTGTCCCCCCAGGTGCTGGAAATAAGCGGCTTCTCCCCCTTTATTGGGGAGAAGGGGAAGCATCCTCCCCAAAAAGAATGGGAGCCGTGTGCCCCAAATGCAGCCTTGTCAGCCACCTCAAGGTCTTTTTTTCTCCCTGGGAGGTCCAACTATAAAAAGTTCCCGGACTTCTGCTTGTCTCACACATACTAAGGACAAGCCCTTCTGGGAAGGTTTCATTGTGGCGTGGGACACGCAGGCTTCAGAGCCCTTTAGTGCCGGGTGGCTGCTACTGCCCTCTGGTGGTGATATATCTGTAGCTGCACAAATTCCTAAAATCCTTCTGGGAAAGAGGTGCTTGAGAACATACTACAATTCAATTAAAAAAATAATTTATTGCTACTCTGGTAGGCCCTAAGGATACAGAGGCAGGTCAAACACAGTTCCCGCCCTCTGGGAACTCACAGTGTAAAAAATGAAGCAAACTCGTAAAGAGAGAGCTTGAATATCACACAATGTACTCAGTTATAATAAAAAACAATGACTCGGACTTCCGATTCCAGACAAAATGGAGTGGATGCATTTATTCCTACTCTTCCTGCTGAGTTAAAGCTACGAACACCTGGACATTAAGACTCTGAAAGGTTGAGAGAAGAGGCAGACTGGCTTGGGAATCTTGAGACGCAGGAAACCAATGGCAGTGAGTTCCCTGAAGTTGTTTTTTTGTTTTTCTTTTATATCCCGGCTGGATACTGGAGAAGCTGGCAACCTAACACACCAGTAGATTCAGGGAAGAAAAAAAAAAAGTCTACCAGAAAAGTATGCTCTGTCTAGTCAAAAGACCAGGAAAGGCGCCGACTAGCAAGACAGGAAACTTTTAGACAATAATCACTCCAGTCTAGCCACATTCCAGAGAAAAACTACGGCCCACCGCCCCACTCCCCTCCATTTTCCATGTATCACTAATGCCCACTGTGTCTCATTTCGTTTACCTGCCTGGGCAGGTAAAGTGTCCCCTGGGCCTTCCTGTTCTTTGACTCTCAGGGGACACGGAGTCGGCCCTTCCATGTGTCGGATTTTCCATCCATGATAAAACGCTTTTCTATACTCTCGCCCTTCCCAGTCTGGTGTGAGGGGACATATCTGGCCACCCTAACTCACTGTGACTGTTTCTTTTTGGATGGCTTCCCCTTTGGGCAATACCAAACATTCAGTTTAGCACTGAACTAGTCTCTAATGCATTCTGGGTATTGTTACTTTTAATTCTTTCTAGGGGCACATGTTAAGGTTTATTTTTCCTTTACACATCCCTCACGGCCATTAACAGTAGGCAGATAAGGCCATTGCTTTTCATTAACGAAAAGGGTAGAAGAGAGGGAGGAAAAGGGAAACAAATATTTAACCAACAACCTTTAGGGGAGATTGTAGATCTGGCGACAGAGAAGAAATGGAGACGATATAGCCAGATCTTGGTTCTTGTTTCAAACAAAGCCTTGACCAGTCGACTGTACCCTTTAAAATGTTCGGAGCCTAGCCTGATAAAGCTTTTTCTTTTCAATCTAGGTTGCAAGCACTGTGCCCTGGAAACCTGCTTTTTGGAATGTGAATTTGATTTCATTCATTGTTTTGCTCTGTATGAAATCAGCTTCCTCTATTCATAAAATAATGAGTTTAATAAGAATTTTTAGGAAGTGAGCTGGGAGAATAAGGGGTCAAATTCCAGTCTCGGGGCCTTTTCACTTGCTGTTCCCTCCTCCTGGAACCCTCTTTGCCCAGAAATCCACAGGGCTCGCTTCCTTGTGACCAAGTGCCTTTATTGAAATGTCACCTTAGTGTGGCTTCCCTGGCTATCCTATATGAAATTGCATGCTCCTACCCACTCCTTATCCCCTTTTTCTGCTTAAAGTTTCTCCAAAGCCCTCATCCCCACCTAACATATTACATATTTTACTTATTTATTTTTATTGCTTGGCTCCCCTACTGAAATGTAAGCTCCGTGAGGGGGCGGGTTAATTATTTTGTTCCCTGCAATGATTGTTTGTTGAATGAATGATGAACAACACAACAGGTGTGGATTTTTTTCTTTTTTTAGCAAGCGCCTGACACCTTAAGACTAATTTGTTGCTCTAAAATGACAGTGGATCGGTCAGGGAATGTTAATTTAGTTTTTTCATTTACTTATTTTATTCTCCACATCCAGCAGTCTCCTCTCGCTGCTATGCTGGATCTGCTTGGTGGTTGACTTGATCTCCGACCAGTCCCACTTGGTAGTCTAGCAGTGTGTCCTTTATGGTGCTGTGCATATGGGTGGCCCTGGGTACCCAGTCAGGCAGGAGGACATGATTTAAACAATCTAAAAATTATCAGTGATGGTCTCTCTTAAAACAATTGGCTCAGCAGAGAAGCTCAGATCGGACGGAAGTTTAAAGGCGGCCAGTCCTAGCTAGAGTTTAAATTCTCTGCTGTTACGACCAGTAATAGGAACAGCTCCCATCTAGAGTCACAACCTTCTCTACAATTAAGGATTCTTTTATTTGCAGTAAGAAGATTCTTTTTATTCATTGAGGATATTTCCCCCGACTGTAAAAGTAATATAGAAATACAGAATTGTAGAAAATTTAGAAAATTCAGAAAAGTGTAAATAAAAAATTTTAAATCATCGTAATCTCATCACCCAGAGACAATCGCACACAACTTTTGGTGTACAGCATTCTTAGTTTAAAAATATACATGTAGATAGAAAATTTAGGGATTTCACTGTATGTGTTTTGCAGTCTTTTTTTTAATCTAACATTATGTATAAAAATATTATTTTAAAAAGGTTCACGATGTACCTTCCCCTTGAGGATGTGCCATACCTTATAATCATTTCCATTCCAGCTGTTTCCAGTTTTTCTCAAGTTAAATAAATTCTATGATGTATATACATCTTTTATTTGGATCTGATTACTTTCTTCAGAGAGACTCCTAGAAGTTACTGACTGGGGCAAAGGGAGTGCACTTTTAGTTTTTAATAACTTTTTCTTAAACTACAGAAAATTAAAATCTTCATGTCGGATTCTTCTCCATAGAAAGTCTACGGTGGCTTCAAATCCGTTGGCTTCAAACCACTCCAAATTCCCTTCCGGTGTTGTTTCAAGGACTTAGTAAACGACCCAAACCTGCGCACAACCACCCAAACGCAGGCCTCCTACCCCAAAGGCAAACTTAAAGGACCCGGGCCCCTAGCACCACCTCTTTAAATTTTAAAACGAAGGCCTAGGCCAATGAATGTTAAGTTTCTGACGGAACACAGCGCCCCGCCCACAGTCCCTCCCTCCACTAATCAAACAGAGGCTGTCCTCCAAAGCCCTACCAATCAGCGCCAGGGAAGGACGTCGCTCACGTAACTTACGTAAGGCAAGCGGCCAATAGGAGTTGAACTTGAGAGCTGGCTGCGCCAATGGTGGTATTTCTTGGAGAGCGCGGGAGCCTTTTGACCAGGACCCCTGGGAGAAGCGAATGGCGGAGGTTCCCTGAGGCGGGGGTCGCGGTGAGAACCCCCGCCGGAGCTCTGGGGCGGCGGCGTGGCTGACATGGCCTGTTGTCGCAACGTGATGCTGCTGCTGGACACCGCGGGCGGCGCCGCTGGTCAGAGCCCGGTCCGGCGGGCCGCCCTGCGCCTCCTCATCTACCTGAGCTGCCGATTCGGCCTGGCCAGGGTCCGCTGGGCTTTCCGGTTCTTTGACTCTCAGGGGGCGCGGGGCCGGCCCTCCCGCGTGTCCGACTTCCGCGAGCTGGGGGCCCGCTCCTGGGAGGACTTCGAGGAGGAGCTGGAGGCCAGGCTCGGGGATGGCGCCCCCGGCGCCCACCTGCCGGGCCCGGCGCCCAGGGCCACCCACACGCACGGCGCCCTGATGGAGACGCTGCTCGATTACCAGTGGGACCGGCCGGAGATCACGTCGCCCACCAAGCCAATCCTGCGCAGCAGCGGGAGGAGGCTGGTGGACGTGGAGGGCGAGGCCAAGGAGGCCGAGACGGCGCTGGGGGGCTTTGGCAACGCCGTCTTCCTGCTGGCCCCCTGTCCGCATTCGCAGAGGGAGCTGCTGCAGTTCGTATCTGGCTGTGAGACCCAGGCCCAGCGCCTGCCGCCCACGCCTAAGCAGCTGATGGAGAAGGTGTTGCCCAAGAGGGTCCAGGAAGTCATGGGCGCCCGAAAAATCACCTTGTACTGGGTGGATACCACCGAGAGGTCGAAGGTAAGGTTCTAGAGAACTCGGGGTTTAGTGCGCGGTGCGTCCCCGGTTAACCAGAACGTAGCAGCCAACAGACCCACAATGAGGCTTACCATGTCCCTTCCGAAGGAAGGTCCTGTGGTCCCAGACTCACAGGGACAGCGTAAACAATGAAGTAGGTCCTCGGTACCTACGAAGTCCCAGCGCTCACGGTCCTTCACAACTTGGGGGCCTTCTCTGCCTTTCCGGAATGTATTTGTCCTACACACGACCCCTATTCCAGCACCTTCTAGGTGGTCACCAGGTCTGACTGCTGGTTTTGTCCTAGTCACCTGGAGTGCCAGCGCTCGCTCGTCCGTGCTGGTGTGTGAACCTCACTCATAGTCTTCGGGGCCTTGCCCGAATGGAAGTTATTCAATCTCAGCTTCTGAGTGTCTAGACACGTTTGTGACTTAACCCTTTTTCATCCTATGTTGCAGTTGTGCAGTCCCCTCACCTTCCCTCTGGTCTGAGAATACCTTAACAAAGGCAGACACACATCTGTGTCTCCCCTGCAGATGTGGATTGAATAGTGTAGGTGTTCAGTAGGTATTCGTTGACCAAATGAATTCTTACGCACTTACGGTTCTAAATGGCTCGTTTGGATTTCTGCTGAGGCACTGCGCCCCCCCCCCCCCCCCCCACTCCAGTGAAGTGCTGTGAGATACAGTGTATGTAATTTTTTACCTTCACCATTTTCTTCCTGTCACTTCATTTAGTCAATAAGTATTCATTGAGAAACCACTACACTGAGTACCTACTGCACCGTTTTTTAGCTGCTGGGGACAAACGAGGTGGTCAGCCCGAGTGCATGTTACCTTCTGGGGGAAGACGTATTAAATAGTTAAGACTGACAGATTCAGCAGATAAGCAAGTAGGTGATAGGATTGCAAACAATGCTCTGAGAAAAACAAAGCTGGGTAAAGGGCTGGGGTGTGTGGACGTTGTATAGGGTGGCAGTCGGGGAAGGCCCCTTTGACCAGAAAATTGAATGGTGAAGGAGGAGGAATTTGAAGGTCGGGAAAGAACATTCCAGGCAAAGAGAAGATCTGGTGTCAAGATTTGAGAGAGAAATGAGCTTTGTTTGTTTCAGAAACAAAAAGGCAAAGGAATGAGAGGGGAGACGAAGTCAGAAAGTAGGAGAGGGCTCGAATACTGACGAGAAATAAGTCTTAGCAGGTGGGACTTGGAGATTTCTTTTTCTGGCTTTCTTTTCGGAATAGCTTTCAAAATAAACTAGGTTGACAGGATTTTTTTTTTTTTTTAAGATCCCTTCCAGGTCTGACCTTCCACCTTCTGAGGGGATGGGTCTTCTCTGAGGCTTCTCACATCTGTTAAGTTGTTTTCCCCTAAGAAAATGTCCATCAGATAAGCTTTTCTGGAATTTTTCTTTTTTGGTAAAGACCTGTCTTTTCCTGTTCAAAAGCCTCTGGCTGGCCACACTGTGGAGGCCAAAGGGAAGCTTAGGCTTTGTCCTTGGGGAGCTCTCTCTGCAGGGGTAGAGAGAGGGGAAGGAGAAAAAACCCACGACCTGCTGTGCTGAGCCCAGCCTGGGCAGTAGGACTGGTAGCACACAACCTGGACTGACACAGATTTGGGGGAAGGAATCAAAATTCACAAAATTCTTGCAAAGATAGAGGCTACAAGGGAGCATAGGAGACCCCTGGGACATTTTCAACTTTATGCCTGACTTATTCACTACATATTTATCACATACCCGTTAGGGGTACCATTGGTGAGTCAGACAGATACGGTCCCTGCTTTTCTTGGAGCTTATATCTTGGATATTTATAAATCCCCAAATTTGAAAAATGTAACCATACTTTATATACTGTTTGTGGGGGTTTTGGCACATGCATATATATTTTTTTAATCAAAAGTTAATGTCCTGTCAACTCTTATCAAAGTTTAACTTTTCATTTAATAAGCAGCTTTTTTTTCCCCTGGCGGATCCTCTGGCTGAAACAATTTCAGCGAATTTTTTTGTTTCCCTTTGGCAGAAAATCCTATGCCCCCTTTGAACTTGACTCTAATGGAAAGTTTGGCGATGACCTAGAAGACCTCACATTCACATAGCAAGCTATAGACTACAGTTGTTAACTCTCCCGTGGGGTAGGCAGCCCCGCGTGATGATCATTTTCTAGGGTAGATGCTCCTCCTCCGTGTTCCCGAAGTGCCTATACGTCATCATGTTGTATGGTGATGCTGAGTCAAATAGTCCACGTTACTGCTGTGTTACTCACTTCCCCGACTTGAAGACTCTAGAAGGCAGGGATTGCGTCTGGCCAGTTAATGGCGCACAAAGATTGCTCAGTACAAGTTTGTCGGCTGTGTGTGAAGGAGTAAGGAATGGCATTTACAGAGAAAGCAGGATTTACGCTAGATGAAAGGACTGTAATTAACATCCAATTGGTAAAGAAGGAAGGGGAAGAAGGTTTAGGAAGCAGAATCAGCAAAACCATGGACGCATTATAAAATATGGCGTGTTCAGGAAACAGCAGACCGTTTGATGTGCCTGGAAGGTAGGGATGCATGCTGGAACGCTATTGTGTGTGGAAAGGTTGTGGAGGAAAGATGGGAGGCGGGGCAGGGCACAGACTTGACAGGCCGCAGTAATGTGACCGGGAATGACGTTGTACCACGGCCCTTTGTCTTCTGGAAGGAAAGAATTCAGTCAGGAGACCAGAGTTTGTGTAGCATAGAATCACAAGTTTACTAGTCAAAGCAAGTACACTCTGAGACATGCAATGGGCTGTTCCAACAGAGGGAAGCAGCCCCGCCTTACGTTGTGTGTGAGTTTTAATTTCTGTGGGTTGAAGTGCCCCCCACCCCAGTACCTCTCATTCTCCCTGCTGGCATGCCACATACTCCCTTCTTGCCCCCCAAGTTGTCTAAGCTCATTACAATGGCCCTGAGAAGCAGGGTGTACATTTTGGTAAGCAGGATGGTGTCTCTCCCTCTCGAGCTTCTGACAACACATCCCTTTGATTTAGGGGCATGTGTGAGCCTGGAGTCCTGCTGGACCTCGGTGCCCTGAGTGAGAGCAGCTGTAAGAGGTCTTGACCTAAGTAGGAGCTGCAGCCAGGGGCTTTGTAACAAGGGCTGGGTCTCCTTCTCCTGCTCATTTCTATCTGTCTGCCTACCCTCTCGTAAGCGTCCACGCGAGAGGTGATGAGGGCTTCAGTGAAAGCAGTGAAGGTAGAACTGAGGAGACCTGTTTGGTCCCTACATGGTCCTGTGGGGTGGACGAGTCAGTGACATTCACCCTCCAGGGAGAATGCTCCTGCCTCACTCCCATGATTCCCGGCCGTTGTTGTGTAGGACAGAATTCTTTTTATTCATGTATCATGGCTTTGTATTCCTTCTGACTCTTTTAACATTTTAACGTTTTATGATTCATCCCCAGTGATTTACATCACTTCTGTTCCTTGCCAGGAAATAGAATGGAAGTGCTATTTTCACTAAATGGACACTTTTCTTGAAGGCATATCGTGTAGCAGTTATACGCTTGGGCTGTTCAGTAACGGGACGCTGGCCACTATTTGTGTTGGGTTCAACAAATACGTTAATTGCATCATTTGATCCTTCAGTGCAGACACCAACTTTACTTTCTCCCAATTTCCGTTATAGCTTTATTTCTGAATGCCCAATTTACAATGACCTGAGGTTCTTCCTAATTCTCCTTTAGGTGTGGGACTCCCCAGACCACCGTGGGTACTGGACAGTACGTGAACTGCTCCACCGCGTAGGAGGCACCATCTTACCAGCTGACACTTTCAGCCAGCATTGTGCCAAAGCTGGGGGAGCACCGTTTAGCAGTGAAACAAAGCTGTCACGTGAACCTCACCTTGCTTCGTGGATTTCCACTCTGCCAACCGATTCCACTTTAAACTGTTTGCTTTATAATTCTCCTGAGTATGAAGGCTCATTTCCACGGATGGAAGGAACGTTATTTCTCCCTGTGGAAAGTAAGCAAATAATAGTTTGGGGTTTTTGTTTGTTTGTTTTTCTTTTTAGTTTCAGTTGCATTCATTTCTTCAAGCCAGGGCCCATGCTTTCAATTTCTTTAGACTTTCCAGCAGCCTACGCGCTCAATTAATACTTGTAATTAAAAGACGTCAGCAAAATCCGAGGTCCCACAGGAAAGGACTAAACTGCCAGCCCATGCATAGAAAGAACAAGGGAATGATTTTGAAGTTTCCCAGCTTTTTACAAAGAAAAATACCTAATATTGTCCAAGTGCCCGAGCAAATGGGTGGTAAGATTTCATTAACTCGTAGAAGAGACTGATAAATTGAAGGCCATAGAGGGACTACGATTGATAACAAATTATAGTCAAAAGAAGCTGAAAAGGGGGCTCATGACCAGGAAGAGCCAGCATGCTGGGATCTTCATAGATCTGCTTTACCATATTACTCACCATGTAGTGCATCTCATTTCTGATTTATTATGTATTCACACAGAACAAATACTCTACAGAGATGTACACATAACACTGTGTTATACATTATGCGCTGTGTAAGGAGATTTCCGGAGTCGTTTTGTTTAAGCAGTTTCGTCTTTAGAATTTAACTTCATACGATGTGTATTTTATGGGTTTAAGAAGCCGTGTCTTATATTTTGTAAGAAGTAACTATTGCTTGGATACTTGTTTCTAAGTCATAATTACAGAGAGGTTCAGACATCAGGTTGTGCCCTTGTAATTCCGTTCATATACAGCTTTTTCCATAGAAGGACATGAACTTGCCGTGATAGCCTGTTGGCAGTAGAATGAGGCTTGAAGCGTGAACTAAGTATCAATACCAGTACCTCAACTGACAATCTAATTTCTTTCTTCTTACTATTTAATCTATTTTTAGAAATGATTCAGTAGAATGTTAATATTCTGTGTTTCTAACAGGCAAAGAGACTCAAGAAACATGGGCCGTCACCCTAGTGCCCTTGACCATGCATCAGAGACATTTTCAGAAACCAGTCAGAATTTTTCTGAAAGGCACGGCCTCCCAATGGTCTCTCCCAATGAGCGGCACTGTGGGCACTCATAGCTGGCTGCTCCAAAGTCCAGACGAGACTGAATCAACTCAAAGGATGCTGTTTGAGCAGCTGGTAAACAGGCTGATTGCTGAAGAGTTACATCTGGTAGGTATCTTCCACATGCCCAATTATTCTTGTCCACTGACATGCTGGTAAAGTGAAATAAGTGTGTTTAGGAACTGCCAAGGATTCCCTACAGAATATATCTCAGTGAAACAGATGATGTATTTGCAAATAATGTCTATATTATCGCATCATGACAATGCTCATTAGTGAAGAAACGGTTTATAAAATTACGTGTACCGGGGTCTTTTCTGCCTCCACGTGGGCTGCCAGTAGGACCTCCGTGTAGGAGGTGTGCTTTCTGCACTGCGATGGTGGTCTTGCTGCTTTTTCTTTTCCTGAATAAACTGTTTCTTTCGTGTGTGTGTGTGTGTGTGTGTGGGAGGGGGGGGATTACGTGTACCGGGAATCCAGTTAGGTTAAATTATACACATGTAAGAAAAAGGCAGTGGGCAAAATGGAATGATTATATTAGGAGTGCTGAGGTGTTGGGACAGTAGGTGTCCCCCCGCCCCCCCCCCAAATCCATGAATCACTTTCCATGATTTCAGTTACCATGGTCAACTGCAGTCCAAAAATGTTAAATGGAAAATTCCAGAAATAAACAATTCATAAGTTTTAAATTGCGTGCTGTTCTGAGTAGCGAGATGAAACCTCGCAGTCCTGCCTGGGACGGGAATCACCCTCTGTCCAGCGTTTATACGCTGTGCACAGTCCCCGTCCCTTAGTCACTTAGTAGCCGTCTGGGTTGTCTGATCGACTGTCGAGGTATCGCAGTGCTTGTGTTCCAGTCACTCTGATTTTACTTAATCATGGCCCCAAAGCCCGGGAGTAGTGATTCTGGCAATTCAGGTATGCCAAAGGGGAGCCATAAAGTACTTTTTTGAAGTGAAAAGGTGAGTACAGTACATTAAGATATTTTGAGAGAGACCACATTCATATGAATTTTATTACAATATGTTGTTATAATTGTTCTCTTTTATTATTAGTTATTAATCTCGTGCTCATGTATAAATCACACTTTATTGTAGGGATGTATGGATCGGAAAAAGCATAGCATATGTAGGGGTTCAGTGCTTTGTGCGGTTTCAGGCATCCACTGGGGGTGTTGGAACATATCTTCCCCCATGGGTACGGAGGGAGCTCCTGTATGTATTTATCACTTTTATATGATAGATTTCACTTTTAAAAAGCCCTACATTAAAAATTAGATAGAATAGTGTCCAATAGTTAACACAAACTTAGAAATGCCTTCTGAAAAGGAATACATACCGCCTTGATTTGATAGAAAGGTGATGATTATTTTTAAGCTATCAGCAAATTCTTTACATTGTCTTTGTAACCTCAGAGGGCTTCTATCTTCCAGGTCCCATTGTGAGTCATTCTAGAGAAAAACTGGGTAGTCGAGTGAGCAGATGTTCTGAGAGTTAATGTGCTCTGATGGAAATCGCACTGGGGGGGGGGGTCAGGCGATCTGGACTAGGTCTGGGCTCTGCTGCCCTCCCCCCCCGCCCCATGTGATCTATCTAGTAAGTCCGTAGTGGTAGCATTGCCTCGTGGTTAAGCGCATGGGTTTAGAACGCATACGCACTTGGCCCCTGCCTCTTACTAACTGGGTGACCTCACACAGGTTGCTTATTCCTCAGCCTCAGTCCTCTATAAAATGGAGAGGAGTCATTTTTACCTCAGAGTGGTTGTGGGGGTTCAGTGAGTTATCATAAGCACATAGTGAGGGCTTAGTACATATTCCTGGTAACCTTAGGTTTTTATTTGTAAATCGAGGGATGGGGATTATAGGGTCAGCAAGTTCAATTGTTCAGAAGTTCAATCAAGCCCATCTTTTTCATAGTTTTTTATGTTAATCATCGGGGGAAGCTACCATTCTGTCTGGTCCTAAAAATCTGCATTTTTCCTCAATCGTATGTCAACAGTATCGTCAACTAACCTGAACTTCTTCTGTAGGTTGCCAGTGTGGACCCCGGTGAGGGCTGGCCCCCCATCACTGGAGTTATTTCCCCGCTCTCGGCCAGCGCTGCAGCCCTCACTGTGTTCTGCACCGAGGAAGCTGAATTTCAAAGACACTTTCTCCAAACAGCCGTGGCAGAGGACCCCCAGGATGCAGCTTGCCTGTTTTCCGATGTTTTGGATGTTGTACTGAATCACACTCACGATGTACTGGAAGATCCCGCTCCCGCAGGTAAGAGTCTGACTAACGTGCTCCAGGCCAGTGGTTCCCAGGCTTTCTTAGCATCAGAGCTGTTTTCCCTGTGCCCTTGGTAGGACCCCCTACCTGTTCTAAAGCAGATAAAAGCAAACCGTAGAGCTTCAGGCAATTTAAATCATCATTATGTATGGAAATCCTGAAGCACTTCTGAGGAGGCCAAAGGCTCTGTGAAACCGGTTTGAAATCCAAGGTATCGGATGAAAGCTGGTTCTTAATAAAAGGAATGTGAAACGTATTGGTTCTGTCTACCTTCCGTTTATTGCATTGTTACTAGTACACAAACCTTATTTATGCCCGGTAGATAAAAATCAAATCATTTTTGTATTCCTTCCATTCATTCATCTACTCAACAGGTTTATTGAGGGCCTGCTATATGTCAGGCACTGTTCTAGGAACTGGGACTATGTCACAGAACTAAATCCGTCTCTGCTCTCATGGAGTTTTCCAGCTAGTCAAGGGAGAGAAGACAGTACACTAAATAAGGAAATTATATATTATAGTGTATTTGAAAGAGATAAGTGCTATAGTAATAAAACAGGAAAAGAACGGAGGACACTGAGAGGTGGGAAGGTTGCAATTTTTGACAGGCCTTGTTGAAAAAGTGGTATTTGAGCAAAGGCTTGAAGGAAGCGGTAGGGAGAGAACATTCCTGAGAGGCAGCAGCAGGCGCCAAGGCTCTGGGACGTGTGTGCATTGGGTGCGATTGAGGAACTGCAAGGAAGACTACATCTTGAGTAGCATTTTTCCGAGAAACACAGGCGTGTGGAGTTGGCCTGGGTACAGGAATGTTGTTAACGCTGCTGCTTTGTGCATCCATGGGAAGAACGGTCAGGCCGCGGGACGACAGGGACGACTCGGCTCTGGTTGTCATGCCTCTTCCTGTCCCCTCTGCCCCTGTCTCTGTAGCCTCTCCAGTTCCAGAGTGGGCCCAGCGGGAGCTCAGCCGCGCGGCCCCCGTAAGTGCTGCCGTGGAGCAGTGGTTTCCACGCTCGAACCTCAGTGGCGCCAGTTCTGATCTGATGGAGTCATTCGGGTAAAACTTTTTCAATTTCTCTGGGTATTGGTAATGGAAATTAGCACTGATTTAATTTGAATTGTGTTTGTTGGTGGTGGTGTTTTGTAACAGACCACAGCTTATGAATCTAGTTCCATAATATTAAAAACGAATTATAAATAATGGAGAGTATTGTTTAATGGGTACAGACATTCAGTTTTTCAAAATGAAAAGTTCTGGAAATGGATGCAGGCGATAATTGTACAACATTATGAATATTCTTAATGCCACTGAACTATACACTTAAAAGTGGTGAAGATGATAAATTTATGTTACGTGTATTTTACCACATTTTTAAAAAATGGGAAAAAGTAACTACAAAAATACTACCATATTATGGATGTGAAAAAATATTTAGTGCTAAGTCTCTAAAAATGAAAAATAGCAAACTTGTGTAATGCAGCTAAATTTATACTGAAAGGGAAATTTATAGACTTACACTCTCTTTTAAAGAAGAAAAATTAAAAACCAGTTAGCTAAGGGTCCAACACAGAAATTAATACAAGAGAGTAAACCCAAAGAATAAAGAAGGAAAGCAATAATAAAGATAAAAACAAAAATGAATGAAATACGGAAAAAGAAAACAATAGAAATCGGCAGAAACAAAAGATGATTCTTTGAGAAACCACATAAAACAGAGTAATCAACAGCATGATTGAACAATTTTTTTTTTTAAGAAAAAGAAGACAAATACTATTAGAAATAGTATTTATAGAAATAGTTACAGCAGAAATTCAAAAGATCATTGGGGTACAGTTGAGGTTTATTTTTTCCACACAGAAACTCAGTTGTTATAGCACCTTTTTGTTCAAAGACAGCCTTTTTCTCATTGAATTACTATTTTGAAATCAGTTGACCACCTTTGTTCAGGTCTATTTCTGGATAGCATCTAGTCCATGAATTATTTAACACCACATTGTCTGGAGTATTGAAATGTGGTAGCCTAAGTCCTCTCAACTTAGCTCTTTTCTGTTGTTGCTCAGAATTGCTTTGGCTATTCGAGATCCTTTGCATGCCTGTGTAAATTTTAGAATCAGCCTGTAAATTTCTGCTAAAACAGCCTGCTAGGATTTTTGACTGAGTGCATGGAGCCTAAGGTCCATTTGGGAACAATGGACATCTTAATAATAATGAGTCTTCTGATTTGTGGACATGGTACATCCAGCTCAGAAGGGCTAAGAGTAAAACGCATGCACTTTCCCCTATGAGATGAAAATTTTCCATAAAGCTCTAGTGAGTAAGGCACTGTGGTCTTGGTGAACATTTCCAGTATACAGAAAAGTAGAGAAAGCATTATTAAATGATAAGTGTGTACCTCCCTCCAAGATTAAATACTTGCTAACAGTTTGCCATATCTGCTTCAGATCTTTTTTTAAATGAAGTTAAGCATTAGATACAGAGAAAGCCCCACTCACAGTCTGTTCCAATCTCTTCCCCCCAGAGGTATTCCTAGATTTTTGTGGGTCTTAGTTATAGGCATACATATGGATCAAAACCAACATAAATTGCAATTTCATGTTGTGAATTTTAAAAAATTATAGAATAGCATTCTTTCGCTGTTACTGTCTTTTTATCTTTAAAGCATTTTGGGAAGTCAGAATTTCCACTTTATACTAGACATCTTGACTTGTTCACAGGTTGCTACAGGCTGCCTCCTCTAATAAGGAAGAGTCTTCCAAGACTGAGAGTGAATTAACACACTGCCTCTCTGAGCTCTACCTGAGAAAGTCTCGTGAAGAACCAGCTGTGTCTAACCAGGAAGACAGCAAAAAGAAACGTATGCACATAGAAAGGATGTGTCTTGAGCGGTCGTTTTTGAGACTGTATGGTTTAAAAGATTGCCGTTCCCTAAAATGAGGTTGAAATGGCAACTGAATAAAGGAGGGCAAGTTCTTAAATTTCACATTTGAAAATCATTACATTAGTACAGTAGTGATTCTAATTTTGAGTTATATCAACTTTAAATACAACTGTGTGCTGCCTGCAAATATTTGTTCATCTGCTGCCTTACTAAGCCACCTCAGCGCGTAACAAAATTTACAAAATTCTTATGTTGTTGAACATTTAGATTACTTTTATCATTATAAATAATACCATAGTGTACATCATGCATATGGTTTGTCTAGTGGTTTCCTTAGCATAAGCTTCCAGGAAAAGTTACTGCATCAAAAAGTAAGAAAAGTAGCTCTTGGTACAGACCCCTAACTGTGACCACCATTGGGCGACACCAAAATGAGTCTGTTTGGCATTTCCCTGCTGTCAAAATCATCCAATCGCAGTGAGATGTTTAGAGCCAAACTTCAATTAAGAGAAGAGCTCTTCCTGCCCTGGGTTGTAGGTAGAAAGAAATACCTAATTCAGAACATTCTGAAGGGATTCCCCTCATCTCTGTCTTCCTTGACTGAACATTTAATCTGAATGAGAGTAGTTGGTTTGTGTTTTGTAACCGAAGTTGTTCTGGATTCCACGGGAGTCACAGTTCTGTCCATTTTCTTGTGTGACACTCCATAGGAGGTGTCCCTCGGACCCCCGTCAGGCAAAAGATGAACACCATGTGCCGTTCCTTAAAGATGCTCAATGTCGCCAGGCTGAACGTCAGGGCTCAGAAGTCACATCCAGATGGCAGTCCAGATGCCGCCGGGGAGAAGAGGACCCAAAGGACAGCCAGCGGAAGGACAGCGGATAAACTGGAAAACAGAGGACGAACTCTAAGAAGTGCTAAACCGAAAGGTAGTCAACTCCTCATTTCCGTGGCGTTTTGGTGTCTATATGTGTACTCTTTCATACCCTCATGTTTTTATCAAGTTTAATCAGATTCCCTCAATTCATGAACATTTATTGAATATCTTCTAAATGCCCACAGGGTGTCATGGGGAATACAAGCCATTCCTAAGAGAATGTCCTCCCCTTAGATTTTTGATCCAGCTACAAAGAACACTAATATATATATTAGCGCAGATATATATCGATATACATTATATATGTAGCGAGCTAATAAAACTAATACATAAGAGAGCCGAGCGTCTGCAACAGAAAATACGTGCTCGCTTGGGAAGTAAAGACAACAGGAGTTGAGGCAGGGACAGTCCATCCTGGGCTGGAACAGGCTGACGAGGCTTCTAAGGCCGCGGGAGCCCAGGTTCCACCCTGTGGGATGAGCGGGGCTGAGATGCAGGAAGGTGAAAGAAGAGAGCTGGACAGGGAGTGGCGGAAGCAGGTCACAAAGCGGGCTGTGGCTCGGCCACAGGGCGAGTGGCTACGGAACTTTCAGACTTGTGAATAACAGCCTCCTGAGTAATTTAGGGCTAGGTTGCGGAGGTCTTTCAGAGTTAGTCTAGTAGCTTTTATTTTCCATTTGTTCTCTTTACTTTCCTTTTCCTTCCTTCCTTCCTTCCTTCCTTCCTTCCTTCCTTCCTTCCTTCCTTCCTCCCTTCCTCCCTCTCCCCCTCTCCCCCTCCCCCCCCCTTCCTTTTTTTTTAAAGATAGGTTGGATTACAGCCTGTTTTTGATTCTCAGGGTACATTCTTAGCTCACACTGACAGAGCCAGTCCTGTGGGATGATTGTGACGTTAGCTTATGATCTTGGGGCAATAATGGAATGATGCCACCTTTGTCTTTTGAAAATTTTGGAATAAAAGCTTTTTGCTCCTTTAAAGACTTTTTCCCTGAGGAATGCTAGATCCATAGATGATCATCAGTTTGAGTAAGACAGACATCTTTAATCTTTAATGAGCTAGAAAGGTGGGGGATACATTCAAAGGAGAGTAAATTCAAGACAGTGTGGTATTAATACAATTTCTGCATTAGATTCTTTCCAGAAATGGACCTGAACATCAATGGTACATTGAGTTTTGACAGAGGTGCCTCAGTAACTAAATGGGAAAAGCATAATCTTTTCAACAAATGGTGTGAGAATAACTGGATATCTTTATGGAAATAATACCAACCGTGGGCCGGCCGAGTGGCTCAGTTGGTTAAGAGCTCGCTTGGGAGCACCAGCTCTGAGCAGCAGGGCTGCGGTTCAGATCCCACATGGCGCCAGTGACACTCACCCTCTACAGCTAAGATGATGAACAACAGCTCTACCTGGAGCTGGGCTGCTGTGAGTTGCCAGCGATGGCGTGGGCTGCAGCAGGGCTGCAGTGGGCTGCCATGAGCTACGTGAGTGGCTGGCAGCCGGGGAGAGCTGCAAATGAGCTGCCGTGAGCGGCCTACCGATCTGCCTCACCCGGGAAGAGGACAGTGATAATACCAACATGGGTCAGTGGAGCGACGTCCTCCACAACTAGACTGAAGAACAAAACAGCAATTTGTCTACCTCTGTTCCCTTCCCCGATTCCCCAATGCTGTTCCCCTCTAATTCCCCAGTAAAATCTTAAAAAAAAAAAAAATCAACCGCAACCTTACCCCTTTTAATAATATTTTGAATTTCTGCTCTATTTTTTTTTACTTTTAATATTGTTTGTTTTTGCCTTTTTCTTTTTTTAATTGCTCAGTCTTGCTATACATTTCTCTATTTTAAGAGTATAGAGAAAAAATTCTTTTCAAAGAATCATTTTGTTTCTGTTGATCTCTTGTGTTTTTTTGTTTTGTTTTGTTTTTTCTATTCATTTCTGTTCCTATCTTTATTATTGCCTTCTTTCTTTATTTTTTGAGTTTCTTCTTTTATTTCTTGTGTTGGACCCTTAGCTAGTTGGTTTTTATTTTTTCTTTAAAAGATCATTTAAGTCTGAATTTTCCTTTAAGTATAAATTGAACTGCTTTGTACAAGTTTGCTATACTCTTTTCATTGATATTTAGTTCTAAATATTTTCTGACATCCTAACATAAGGGAGTGTTTTATTTTTGTAATTAGCTTTTAATATTTTTTGACGGTGCACAGACAATGTATCCTGTAATATATTGATTCTTTAATATTCGCTGAAACTCTATGGCCTAATATATGATTAAGTGTCAATATTCCGTGTGTACTTGAAAATAATGTGTATTCTCTAATTCTTGGGTATTTAGTTCTATACATGTCCATTACATCGAGCTTATTAATGTTTTAATATTCAGCATTCTTAATAATTTTTTCTCCTTCTTTTGTCTACAACTGAGATAATTGTATTATATATAGTCTTCCGCCATGTAGATTTTTCAAAATGTTCTTCCAATTTTGCCAATTTTCGAATCATACATTTTGAGGCTTCCTTGTTAGGTTCATAGAGATTCAGAATTGTTTACATCTTTCCTTGTGATTATGTCTTTTGTAACAACTGTTTATTTATTCCTAATAACTTCATGCCCTAAAGTTTATTTTTCTTGGTATTAATATAGCTGTGCTAGCTTTCCTTTGTGAGTGTTGAGACCAGTCCTCACTTGTGCCAGGCTTGGGGCTGCTTGTACAGGGCATGCCGAGGCCAGCCACCGTTTGTTTGGGGTTTGTGAACCTTTGAGAGATTTTAGGAAAGTCCACAGCCTGAGCTGAGGCAGGCCCCTTATGTGGAAAGCCAACTTCATGGCATCTACTGTATAGCCTTAATTCGAGGACTCCTGGTCAGCTAGTCTTCAGGTGGTTCTCAATGATGCTTCTGTAATTGAAATGGAATTTTGATGTGGTCGTGGGAGGAGACGAACACAGCGTTTACCTACTCCACCATCTTGACCAGAAATCCTCAATTTGAGTCTTTTTATTTTTTAACAGCATTCAAAACTGAAGAGGCGCTGCTCTCTTACATACATGAAAGTTACCAAAAGACTGTGGCCACAGGAGAAACGGTGTTGCATGCGTGTGCTCAGAACATGATCTCAACCATTAAAGTATTCCTCAAGTCCAAAGGCACCAAGGAGTTAGAGGTAAGAGCCCGGATGCTGTTGTATGTCACACATGTAATTGTTGCTTGTTGGTGGGTTTGGTTCATAAGGTGATTATGCAGTACGCAACTCAAAAATGATAAGATGAGCCAGGAGGTGAGCGCAGTGCCAGATCTTGGAAGGTGAACATGGTGAACTCAGAAGGCAGAAGTCAAGGAGAGGGTCTAGGTGGGGAAATGATTTGTGCGTCTCCTCCAGTGAGAGCTCTGTCCTTATCTGAGCAGCGTTTTAGCTGCATGAATTAGGCCAGTGGTTCAGAACCCTGGCTGCCCTTTGGAGTCCCCGAGAACATTTTTAAATAGCTGATGCCTGGCTCCCCCCAGACCAAGTGGAACAGGTCTCTGGAGGTTGAGCCCTGGGCATCTGTACTATTACAAAGCTTCCGAATGGATTCTCATGCACAGGGAGTGTCACAAAGTTCAGTGCTAGACCACGTTACTACTTTCTTTCACGGTTAGTAAAGCTGGGCTCCTCTGAAGTGCGCAAGACAGTTGCTTACAGCCGTCGCAGGCAAGACATTATGACTCTTCCTTTAAGAACATTCCAGTCTGCAGGCTTGCTGTCTCCACTGCCCACTTGCTCTCAAATACAGTAATACCTTGGTTTGCAAGCATAATGTGTTCCAGAAACAAACAAGGCGTATTATAAGACATCGCTCGTTTACCATGTTAAAATGTATTAGAAATGTTTGCTTGTCTTGCAGAACGCTCACAAACCACGTTACTGGCAATCCAAGGTTTTACTGTACTTTTTTACCATGTTCTTTTTAAAGATATGAAAGATTATTCATTGCACTGTTTTTCATTCAAATGAAGGAAGGAGGAAATTTGTAAGGGAATGTACTTCCCTTCTTAGGGCTTTCGTCAGCTGTGAAGAAATTAGAAATAATGATAAGTAATGTCATATTCTCCTGTGTAATACTTCTGTGTTTTCAGATGAACTGCCTGAATCAAGTAAAAAATAACCTCTTAAAAACTTGCAAAAGTCTTAGACAGAATGCAGGAAAAAACCTGAATAAAGAAAACAAAGTCAGAGAGTAAGTAATTTCTCTTTTTTTTAACTATTACTCCAAAACAAAGCTCCACAATTTGCTTGTATCCATTTAAAATAGATTGCCAATTGCTTGACAAGGTTTTTGGAGCCTATTCTTTTTGATGCGCTAATACGTAGTTTGATCACCTAGTTACCTGCTAACCATATCATTATGTAGAGAAAGCATTGTTCCTTCTCCTTTTTGGTTGTTATTTATGTAAGTATTAGGTTGTCAGAAAAGTCATGATGTATTTTTGCAATGAAAACCATAGAAAAAATACGTCATGACTTTTCTGACAATCCAATAGATCTATGGTTAAGGAAGGAACTTTCAGTGGCATTCAAAGTAGATATAACCAAATATGTCTTTCTTTCAAGGTGCCAGCTTCAGGTGTTTCTTCGTTTGGAGATGAGTCTGCAGTGCCCTTTCATGCACGACAGCACAGATGACATGGAGCAGGTAGTCGAAGAGGTGAGGACATAGCGTAGTGCTGCCGGAATATGCCGTAGATGCTTTCAGTTTCCCTGCCAAAGGCATGTGGTAATTTTGTAAAATCTTGTTCAGGTTTCAGACTTGCTGCGCATGGTGTGTTTAACCGAGGATTCCGCATACCTAGCAAAGTTTCTGGAAGAAATTTTGGAATTGTAAGTGTGATGACCACTAACTGAACTTTTAAATTATTTCACCAAGAACTACATAATGGGGGTTGACCGGTTAGCTCAGTTGGTTAGAGTGTGGTGCTGATAACACCAGGGTTGTCGGTTCGATCCCGGCATGGGCCACTGTGAGCTACGCCCTCCCTAAAAGAGTCAACTATACCATTGTAGCACGAAAGCAATGTGTAACTAATGACCATGGCTGTTCCCCAATAAAATTTATTTTTTTTTAAAAAGAACTACATATGGTATTGTTTCAGGATTACGGAATTGTAAGGACTGTTTCTCATGCTGGGCGTGGGATTAGAGAGGGTGGATTGGTGACTGACTGTTCCATGTTTAACCATGCTGTTCCACAGGTATATTGACTCTCTCCCAAAGACACTCGGAAACCTTTACCACAGCCTAGGGTTTGAGATTCCTCAGAAGCTGGTTGGCGTCCTCCCTTCAGATTTTTTAAGTGACGATTCCATGACCCAGGAGAGCAAGTCACCGCTTCTTTCTGAGCCTCACCCATCAGTGTCGGATGCCACTGAGTCTGAGCAGCTGGAGGAGCTTCGTACCAGATCAGCTAAGAAGAGAAGGTGGGAGCTCTAGGAATCCAAGGAGATACTTCTGACAAAGGGCATGTTTAAACCAGAGTGCAATTGTCTTAGTTTGTAATTTATTGAAGTAATAGTTGCCCTATGCCTGAGTCACGATGCCAATTATTGGAGCTCCTGCTGTATGTTCCCTGGAGAATAGGAAGTGTCAGGAGCATGTGACACTCCTTGTACTACCCACGGAACACACAGTATTTATCATGGGGTCCTCCATGCCCTTCTAGACTGTCCACAGGGGGCCTCCAGGAACCAGGAGCCTTTTATGGTTTCCGCTTGCTTTTTAAATTTTCTGTGATGCTTTTCATTGTTCATAACTAGTTGAATGTATCGTCGTTACTTTCAACGCTTTATTTTACACTCTAGTTCTAGTCTAATTTAACTACTTGTAATCTCTGTCAAGTGTGTATTGAGTGTTTCTATTTTTTTAAAGGAAAAATGCATTAATAAGACATAAAAGCATTGCAGAGGTCTCGCAGAATCTGCGACAAATTGAAATTCCCAAAGTGGCAAAGAGAGCTACAAAAAACGTAAGTCATTTCCAAAAGACAAGAGATGGCACTACCACAGTTGTTCCTTCCCGCACAAGTCACATAATAAATAAGAATGAACGGCAGTGTCTCAACATCGAGGAAATCGACAATAGAGCACACAGAAATAAAATTAGATACTTTTATGAATGTGTATATGACTGTAACCCTAGGAATAAAGAAATAGAAATTTGTTGAAGATTAACCATTTTACCCCAAAGTGTGACAGTTAAAGGTAATATGCAACAAGCGCAAGTTAGGAATGAGTAAGTTGATTAAAAATCTGCAATGTAGTCAGGAAAGCTCATAAAATAGTAACTGGCAGAAGCGAAGAGCCCATTGAAAAATAATGTACAATCGTAACAGGATTTCCGCTGCATGCCGGAAAGTGCTTTTCAGTATGTATGTGTTATTTCAATAGCAAGTATTTTAAAAAGCGGGGTTGGGGGCTCTGTCATGAAGCCAGATGGTAATTGTTTTTGTGGCAGTGGATATAAGGATTTGAGGTTTTTGTTGCGCTAAGAAAGGGAGACGAAGAATGCGTTGAAACTTTGGAGCTGCCAGAATTATTGAGAAGAGTTAAAATTCTGTGAGAACTGGCTTTAGAAGCATTCATCATTACAGTAGTGGTTTGCTCTCTTTCTTGAGATTTATAGCTGTCCTTTGGAACCGGAGGCGGGTTCTTTTACAGAGTAAGTGGTGTTCGCTTTCTTAGGAGACCTTAATAAATGGGTAAGATGCAAATCTCATGTATCTTGGACTTCTGACTGGAGAGGGAGAAATCTGAAAGTGGACAGCCAAAGGGTGTCAGACCTCCTGTCTCACTAGACCATACGCTGATTTGCAGTCATTCGTCACTGTTATGATTAATGCTTCTAAAACTAGTTCTCAAAGAATTGAAACTTTCGTTTTAGGTTGGCCAAGAAAGTTTACTTCTTTAAAACTAGATTTACTGAGCTCAGGATTTGATTTTGGTTAATAAAGAACATCATTTCAGAAGTTTCTGCCCCTATATGGCAGTTCATTCATCAGCTATTACAATGACATAATTGAAAAATCAAACCAAGAAAATCTTTAAAAACAATTCTGTTGTTGAGATGTGTCTGGATTTTAGAGTCTCAAGTCCTCCACGATAATAGCAAGTAAGTAGCAATTTCATACAGAGAAGTTGCTAAGAGTATCGCCATCCTCTGAATAGTTTATATGGGTTTCCCTTAGTTTTTTTAGTTATAAAAGGTATACATAATCATCATTAAAAAGTTAAAATCATATGAAATTGAAAGTTAGAGTGTCCCTTCTCCATTAGTTCTGCAGAAGTAATCATTGATGATGGTTGTGTATATTCCCAGGCCCTTTTCTCTATATACCAATAGTACACACCAAAGGTTTATACATACATTATGCACATACATGCAGTTAAACGTTACAAAAGGTTAACCCACTATACTTCTCTCAATTTTTTATTTATTTATTTATTTATTTTTACATTTTCCCCATCATGGACCCCTTTCTGTTAGTATATATAGGTCTTGCTTCCTTCGCTATATTTCCTAATTAATTATTTTAATGTCTGCATTGGATGGATGAACCATAATTTGTTTCACTCTTTGTGGGAATTTAGGGTTCTGTTTTGTTTTGTTTTTGTGCAGCAATAAGCAAGAAGCTTATTAGTAAAAGAAAGTACACTCCAAGACGAGGTGGGATGAACCCAAGAGAGGGAAGAAACCTCTTAGGGTGTTTTTTATTTCTTATTATTACAGTGCAGCCTTCAGTGTTCTTGAAACATACCTGTACTTGTATGCATTTTACTGTTGTTTCTGTTATGGATTCTTCAGTGGAACTGCAAGGGTCAGGGTTTCATGTGGGGTTTTTAGTCTTTTGCTTTAAAGGAACGTCTGATTTCTTATTGGAGTTTCTCCCTTTTCAGGGGAACTCGCGCCCTACACTTCGGCAGCCTCCACTTCCGGTGAAAGATGCAGTGCAAGGTAGTTTGTTTTCTCGGTGTGCGTGTCTGTTGACTAGAACGACAAATAGATTTCGAGTGCATGAATTCAAGCAGCTGCACACAGTTATAAATTGTAGTTTTGTATGGTTGTTGGGTAATGCAGTACTATGTTCAAATATCATGTGCTAGGAGAACAAGATATTCACGTGGTCTCAAAATATTGCTTTCTACAAAATCTTTTTAACAAACACCATTATCACGAAAGCCCAAAAAAGGTGTGGGGGTGGTGTGGGGGGAAATGCAGTGAAACTGGTTTTGATAAAAGGAGTTTAAGTGTGGCAGGTAAATGTACCACATGATCCCTGCTCGGATCTTAAATTGAAGAAGGGAAAAGCTATAAAGGATATTGAGACAATAAGAGAAAATGAAAATGGCTAATGCTAGCTGACATGCCCTTGTTCTTAGGAGGTAGGTGCTACAGTAAAGGGAGCTGGGAGCGGTGGTATCTGCACTTGACTCTGCAGTGCTGAGGGGTGGGAAATTGCATGAGTGGAGAGAGAGAGGGTGGAGGGAGAAAACCAGTGTTGACAGCAGGTGAATTTTAAAGACGACTCTGTGCTTATTGTGTTCTTTGAAATTTTCTGTAGATAATAAACTTATCACAAACCCAGGACAAACAGAAAGTGACCAATAAGGTCATAAGTCAGTTTCACAGATAGCCTGAGGCAGGTAACAGGGACTCTTATGTGGAGACTGAGAAACATTTTTTGAAAATTGGTGTGTTATTGATGCTCTTAACATTAATGTTTATGTCACCGATGTGAAGACATAAAGTCTGCCCCCGGCGTGTGGATCCCACTTTATTTGGTTTTTATTTAAATGACTTGCTCTTAGAAGAATTTACCCTTGGTGAATTTTTGAGTAGCCCCCAGCAGGCCATCTTACGATGAAGGTGCTTCCTGTTAGCCTGTCAAGTATTTCTTGACCCCTCAGCTGTTTTTCCTAGCTTTGAGTCTAGATGGCCATAGCTCACAGCTCTGGAGCCAGGAAGAGAATTGAAAATAACCCAGAAAATTAGTAAAGTACTCATAAGAAGAATGAAATCTGAGAAACTGAAAAGAACAGTTTCTCTCTACGTGATGCTGAGCTGAATACAAAGCAGCAAAAAGGCCCAAAGTGCGAAAAAAACATCTTAACACTGGGATATATTACAAGGACCATGACCTATGTTAGCCAGCCTCATACTTAAGGATTATATCCATTTCACAATGAGTAAAGGTTCTAATTTAAGTGATGTGGGCCTTCCATGTACTCCTGAGAAATTGGGTTTAAATGAAATTTGTAAGCGTAAATAGTTTTAATGTACCACGTGAGTATAATATTTAAGGAGACCCTATTAGTAAGTGGCGATACAGTAGCCAGTCTGTAGGATAGTTACCTGAAGCAACTCCTCTGTTTTAAATATCTCCTTTTCCCAAATGTGGCATTTATTAGTGCTAATGTTTGGCTTGCTTTCTTTTTTATTTTTTTAATGCTTTCAGAAGTGACCAAAGTCCGAAGAAATCTATTCAACCAGGAAATTTCTCCTTCCAAGAGATCGGTAAAGCGGGGATTGCCCAGAAGCCACTCCATGCCAGCTGTGGAAGGTCTGGAGTATAAAGTTGACAACTTCCAGAGGACCAAAGGTACATTTCAGGGTAACCAAGAGAAAGGGGCTCCTGGAGCCAAGCCAGTCCCTAGACCCGCTTTATTGCAGAAGCTCGTTGATGTCATCTGTTTTCTCTCCTCTGTGTTTCCTTCAGTTAATTTTCCCTTTGGAGTCACCCTCTAAGTTTGGATGCAAAATTAACCCTTGTCTCCCTCAGCCCTCCCTTCCTAGTTACCCCTGCAGACAAGCATCTATGCTATAAAACCAGCTAAAAAGAAATGAAGGATCACAATAAAAAATTAAAATAAAAAAAGAATGTTTGTGACAACTGTGGGGAAAGAAAATCCTATTCTCTGAAAATAAAAAGTAAAAAATAACAAAAAGAAATGAAGGATAGCAATCAGTTTTCTAGTCTTTTTTCGTTTTGGGGTTGTTGTTTTTGCTTTCTTGTGCTTTTGAAATAATGGAGATATAATTCATGTACCATAAAGTAACTTTTACTTATATATATATATATATATATATATAT